TTTTTGCAACGTTTTCTCCTTGCAATATTTTGTCCATGCAATATTTTGTCCATGCAACATTTTGTCCTTGCAACTATTTGTCCATGTAACATTTTGTCCACAACAACTTGTCCGCAACATTTTGTCCGCGACGATATGTCCGCGACATTTTGTCTTGCAACATTTTGTCCTGCGACATTTTGTCCATGCGACATTTTGTCCGCAACATTTTGTCCGCGACATTTTGTCTTGCGACATTCAGTCCTAGCGCCAATTTTGCATCTTGTTCAATTTCATTTTTTGCCAGAAAAATGAACAGCAATTGTCATGAGATTTCATTGTAACAATAACCATTAGTAACTTGAACGAGAAAACTTCTTCATACTTACTATGTTTTACAAAAAAGATGTAATTTTATAATAAAAATGTAAAACTCTACATTCCTAAACCTATCCTATTGAAACGTAAAAAGAAAAAGATGAAATTTTGTAACCGATAATAGTTTTGACTTTTTATTTGATATAGTTATGCCAGTTTAGAGAATGATCTAGTATTCTGAAAGCTTGTGAAAAACTGAACACCTTAAGTACTGAATATTTACCGACAGATATTGTATTTCTACAGTAAAGTGCTGAACTGTTTCCTCACTCTGAAAAAGATTTCCAATTTTTGAAATCCTGTAACGATTATTATTTTATATATAACGCAGATTTTAGATCAAAGATCATATATTTCTGTTCTCAGAGTCTTTGAAAAAGATTAATGTAACTTATTCTAGGTATGTGATGTTCACAATCGACAAGATGATCTGATCGATCATGTTAAAGATGATCGAGCACGACAAAGACGATATGATATTGATGAACCATTGTCGTTTAATGTTTTTCATCATGATACAAATAACGATAAATCAACAATGGAACTTAATGGTGAATTTCTTCAAACACAATTACTAATTGATTGTTTAGATCGAATGAAAGTAACCGACACTGATAAGATAAACTTGCTGCCCTATGTAAAATACTTTTTAAAGATAATTAATTCCAACAAACGATGATTGATGAATTTAGAAACAAGTATTCATCTGATCAAGCAATTCGATGGTACACAAAAGATTCATTTTTTTTATCGCGTATTAAATAAAGCTCTTCGTATTCAAGATACTAATCTATTACTTCTATTTCGTTTTTTCATTCGTGATATTGAAAAACAACTAAGAGAATATCAATGTCCATCACCAGTTACTCTCTATCGAGGTCAATTTATATCAAAGGATGAATTAAAATTATTCGAAAACTCAAACAATAAATTAATATCAATAACTTCATTTTTTTTCGACTAGTCTCGATTCGATAGTAGCTAATGATTTTATTGCTTCAAATACAACTGATGAAAACTTAAAACGTATTCTATTTGAAATTTATGCTGATCCATCTCAAAATCAATCGAAACCATTTGCAGATATTTCATCAGTCAGTTGTATTTCTGATGAACAAGAAGTATTAATGATGATAGGTTCAGTTTTTCGAATCGATGGTGTTGATGATACAATAGAATGTATTCGAATGACTCTTTGCAATCATAATGATCAAAATTTTAATTTACTTTTCGATTTTATGCAAAAGAAAAATTGTATTGCAACGGCTCGATTGACTAATTTTGGCAGTGTATTGATTGGTATGGATAAATTTGATGTCGCCGAACGTCATTTTAAATGTTTACTGAGAACTTTCTCGCCTAATCATCCTGATCTTCTTATTTGTTATCAAGCATTGGAAAAAATCTATTGTGAAAAATGTGATTTCGATCGAAGTCTCAAATATTTCAAAATAGGACTGAACATTCTATATCGAGAATCGAATTCGAATCAGATTGAAATTGAGTATTTCCATAATAGTATTGGTGAAGTGTATCAGAAGAAAGGTGAAACTAAGGAAGCATTGAAATCATTTCAACAAGCCCTGAAAATTTTCAGCGAAATCCCGGTGATATGAATGAAAAGATTGCCTGGTGTTTCAATAACATAGGTATCATGTATTTGATGGAGAAGAAAGATTCAGAAGCATTTAATTATCTCGAAAAGGCATTCAATATTAAAAAGCAATTACTTCCTGAGAAACATCCTTGTCTTGGTAATAAATATATTAATCTTGCCAATCTTTATTGTCATAATCGTAATTATGGTTCAGCGTTGAATTACTATGAAAAATCAGATCAGATTTTCCAAACCTCTCTTAGTCAAAAACATCCTTCTATTGCACGGGCACTCAAGAATATTGGTGTTATTCATGAATTGGAAGGTGATTTTTTGAAAGCATCGATCTATTACATTAAAGCACTGGATCTTCGTCAACAAATTCTACATTCACCTCATCCAGATTTACGTGAAATCAAACAAGATATAGAACGTGTTTCATGGAAAATATAATCAATGTCTGTGCTGTACAATTCTGATAGAATAGAGATCGAATTCGAATCGTTGTTAATCAAGTGGATTCTAGAATGAATATTTCTACATATAATCATCTCTCCGTCTAATCACAAAACATCCAAGCCATAAACTTTGAGTCCATCTTATTTACAAACCTGTGTTCAATACAAACAAGATTGGAATGAAAATTTTGAATAATATTTCACAGTTATATATTTTTTTCGAATGAAGAAGTATGCGATATAACTAATATACGGACATAATATGTTGTTTGTACTTCCAAGGTTCACGATATTTATCATATGAAGTATTGTGAAAATTCTTCTAGCTAAAATAATATCCTAGCGTAGAATTTTACACTAGATTAGTCTAAGAGAGTGAATATTTGTTAGCACATTTTAATGGGAATAGCGCGCATATCATGATTTATTCCCGTCATTTATAATATATTGTCATACAATCAGAGATAGAAAAGTACCTGTAGAGATTTAAGACTGGTATTTCTACTTAAAAATCATTCAGTCATTAATGAATCATTTGATGCCAGTACAAAAAAATATTCAATAGATATAATATCTTTCAATTATAAATCTCGTCATTTGTAACTGTTGGCTACTTCAAAAAAAAAAAGTAGATAGGCATCTTTTTGAATAGCTTTTGATAGAACCGCTGTAGAAAGCTGCGGTTTTCACCATGACAAAGAAGAGATGAAGATGCACATAAAATGTCTATAACATCTGAACGGGTAAGCGTTAAAATCTGGGACTTGTGTAGTTTTATAGATCTTCATTTAGCAATTCGAATGCGTATCTGATTATTGAAAATTTGCCTTAGACACCTTCCTGAGTATGTTCATTTTCAAAAACGTCGATTTAAGTCCATAATAAAACTAAGTACGCCAAATGACTCTGTAACATATAGTTCGACGCGTCTCCATCTTCTTTTTAACGGTGAAAATCGCAACTCTCCAGAGTGGTTCTATCAAAATTTATTCAAAAAAATATCCACTCGCCTTTTAATTGGAAATGAGTAGTAGCTAAATGGACGAGATTTTAAAGGAATTTTTAAGAAGATTGTTCAAAGTGAAATTTAATTTTTGACATTCTTATTGTACAAATGCTAGACAACAATAAAAAATATTTATTTGGATAAAGAAAAAAAACAACTACGGTTCTTATTACATAACGAGTACTGTTGAAGTTGTAATCAATGCATTGTTTTTTTTTATTTGATAATTAAAACCATAATGAATGATTTTGAATTCTTTGGGCCAACTTAAATCAAAAAATGATTACGGAAACAAAATACGATTAATTTACAATTACTGGCAAGCAATTCTATACATGGCATGTCCGTTCAATTTCAATAGTGATGTTTTTCCTCTTTTTCATCTAAAGGTAATATTATCTAATGACTCTGTTTAATTTTAAATAATAAATTATAATAAGAGCAATTGTTTTTTTTTAGTTTTTGATTATTATTTTTTCGAATAAAAACAATTGCTTATTAATTCATTTGATTACTATCTTTGACAAAAAAGAAATCTAATCATAGATTTTAAAAAATGAGAAGACTTTTCATGTTCTGTTTCAAAAATGGAATAAGCTGGTAGACTAAGACTTCAACAACATTACTATTACTTGTCCTTTATTTAATTGATATGTTTGATATGAAATAATAAGATAAACATACATTTAATCGATATTAATGTCGAGTTAAATTTAATAATTGAAAATTAAAAATATTTATTTATTTTAGTTATCTGAAATGAATCGAAATCCTGAATTAGTTTTATTATAATCTTTAATAAGTCAGCAAGAATTAAAGCAGGTTTAATATTAAATATAACAATAAAATTTGTTGCAAATCTTGATGTTGATGGATTGAATTAGCATTTGATCTTGTATATTACTAATTTTTTCTTCAATATTGAATGAAAACATCACATGTTTCTTTATTTTAGGAAACAACTGTTGGAAGTGGTAGAGCTGATGATGAGGAAGATGAAGGTGTATATTTTGTAGCGTCAACAAAGGGTCAATAAATTCCATTACCTTGGACACAAAATGCCACATTATCTATTGCTCATGTGTTAAGTGGTTCATTTGAATCAATAATGTGTGCATTACAGAATCAAGTTGGAACAGTTTGTTTTGATAAAAATATAAACAATTGTTTGTTCAAATATATTCATGTCCATATGCAGCTTTTACAACAGTTCCATTATTACCGGCATTATATGCATATTCATTAAGAAACTGGTTTGTATTCTTTTGTTTGTCTAGTAAATATTTTTAAATTATTAAGGTATGATGCACATTTTCCAAAATTATTTTATCTAGGAGTTGGACGTCTTCAAATTACTTACTGTTTAACATAAAACGAAAAATTTCAAGATCAACAATAAATTGAAATATATCAAAGAATATATATTGCTGATTTAGGAATGTCAATGTCAAAAACGAAGATTTTAGTGAAAGATAATGAAAAAACATTAGTGGCGTAACCAGATGGGGGCTAGAGGGGCTCAGCCCCCTCTACGGAGGCTTGAGCCCCCTCTACAAGTTTTTAAAAATTTGTTATGATCAAAAAAGTAATTATTTAAAGAATGAAGAATTGTGTATTTGACTTTTTCATGATCGAATATAGAAAGGTAGTGAATGACTCCTTTTTCTTGGAACAGTTTGATACT